AGATTTCATCATGGACTACTCGTACTTCGATCCCATTTAGGGTTGTGGATGAATATTGACATTGAGAAGTTGCTTGCAAGAATCAAATAGCTGAATAACAGATACAACATGTGTACATAAACACCTGTACAAAAAATACGATGACAAAGACAAATATCATAAAAATTTGAAGAGGTTGTTGTTGGAAACGATTTACCCTGATAAACAACACTGACATATAATAATGACTAACTCTGAGAACTAATTCTCGAAGTTCAAGTGTAAAGCAATGACCAGTAGTGTTCAGTCATATTAGGAATAAGATAATAGGTGATTGTTGAGTGACATCATATGTTGATTGAAGTAATGAAATATAAAGTAATGGATGCCAAATCACTACTCTCAAGGTTACTCGATAGTTTAAAAACCTGATAGTCCAAGATTTGATTCCCAATGGGATCGTAGGAATATGGCACCAGTGAATAGTTCCATATTAAAACAAAATAACTGTCGAATCCTACCTTGTTTTTAATAGTTTTCCAGGTAAAGTCAGTCCGTGATGTAGAACATGAAATTATATTTCAAATCATTTTAAATATACTTAACTACGGAACCTGATTTACCTAAAATATGAATGAAAATTCAATTTCTAATTTTATTACTATCTAAACAACAACATTTCAAAGCACTTTAATTATGATCTATACAAAAAAACACAACTTGGTGTAAATTAACTTATTTATCCTAACAGAATATCAGAAGTCTTTGTATATAATATATGATCTCAATATGATTCCAAACATGTGTCTGTATCCATGTATATGTATATATTCTGTTTAACTTTTAAAGCCAAAAAAATCTACCACACTGTTTACGTTTACCTCCGATACCCCCCCCCCCATCCAGTCAGTCTGGTACATAAATAACAGTAGTTAAATGAGAACGGTTATTAAAGGAAAATCTGTCTTTAAAAATTATTCACTATCAACCTTTATTAAAAACAAATTCCATAATAAAGATAAGGGAATGGAACGAGAAAGGTAAAAGATTATTGAAAGAGAGAAAGATTAAAAGAACATTTAAACAAAATGTTGGAGACAAATGTTACTTGAATATAAAATGTATGAAATGAAAGTGGATAAATTCAGTTGTTCTTTTTTTTATATAATGCTATCAATGGTGTTGATTTGTCAGTTTTATCAGACTATACATTAATCGATATTACATTATATGGTACAAAAAAATCTTCATCTTGACTCCTTAATAATAAATGTTCTGGTTTCAATTATACTGATCAATAATATAGTATATACTGATTACATAATTTTGGTATTGATAAAATCACTGTTCAAATAAAAACAAACAACCATTAGTTGAATTCACTTGGTAGTTTTTAGCTTGTATCTTCCTATTGAGGTTTAAGACTGCATTAAGGTAATATCGAGGCATACACACAGTATGTACATATGCCAATAACAGACTGATCAATTGCAGTCTTAAACCTCAATAGGGAGATATGAGCTAAAAAAAATACCAAGTGAATTCAAATTCACCCCATTGCACAAGCCAGTGGCTGTCAGGACTCAGTAGCTTAGTGGATAACGCGATGGAGATTGAAGCGAATGGTAATGGGTTCGAGTCGCAGAGCGAACATCAACTCTCTGAGATGCAGGTACATCCAACTGGCGAGTCTCAAACAGGACGAAACACGTGTCCTGGATTTCACTGCTAGCCACTATCCATGATTGCTTACAAACCTTTAGTTAGTTACTACAAAATGAAAAATTATAGGGAGTATGCTCACACATCTGTTATTTGAATGCTTGTTACTAGTTTTTTAAGCTGTTTCTTATAAATATAGACTAATTCTATACTTGAATCCAAACCATTGAAAAAATGGCATGAAGTATGAATAAAAGCAATATACTGAAATTAATCTATATCCAGAAAAACGGGTATATTTGTAGAATTCTAGCTAACCTTAGTACTGTAGAAACTTCTGGAAGTATAATAAATACTGTTATTATCCAATAATAACATGATGTATAATCTTTCGTTTTTCTAAATGTTTATAAGAAGCTTTCAAGAGATTTCGTCGAGAGATATTCTTGAAGTCTTAAGAGATGTACAACATTTTTCATTTTGCTGAATGAGCTCAGATCAAGATAATAAAGAAATACGAGATAAAAATACTTTTAACTTCAGTTTTTCTTGTCATGAACTGATTAATACTGAATGACGGGACATCAAACACAATTAAAAGTCTATATAAAGCTATTTCGTATTACATTTTTATACTTTTAAGAACAATCAACAGACTTGAATCTCTGTTGTAAGCGTTTATAACAGATACAAGAAGATGAAAACGATTCCAGAAGTAGATTTCATTTGCTCACATATGCACCGCACAAGTCACTGGATTTGTGTGAGAGCTGTGATACTGCCCGGGTGCTCAAATCGAAACAGGCGGTTTTCTTAGGAGGCCACACCCGGAGCCTTCGACCTAAAGGTCTAATCCACAAGGCAATGGAGTAACGTCAAGAGATGCAGTCTCATGGTAGTCTGTGACCAATAATTGGTTCATATGCCATTTGTTCCCTCAAGATCGTGGATCCCATGTCTACTATTGGTTTGGAATCAGAGTTTTCTGACTCCCCTAGATGGATCCTCCATATCCAGGAACTCGGTTAAAATACCAAACATTTGGTTTTTGTCCTCTCAATTTTGTAAACAGCATCCTGAATAAATACTACATCAAAATTACACTGAATTAAAACTAATCTCATTCAATTACTTATTTCTATTATATAATAAGAGAAAGACAATTTCTTAGGTCACATCAAAGTCCAATTATTTGAAAACCTCGTTTAGTATAGTAAAGTAAATTTCATATTATTCGTACTCAATATGATACTAGGACATTTTTGAATTGTCAGGTCTCAAATGAGACACATAACACTAAAAAGTTACAACTATGATAATGTAGCATACCCAGTTACAAGTTATTTCTCTAGCATTCATAAAGTAAATTGTCACTGAAATTTTGGTCAATAATATTCACAACCTGCCAAATTCAAATGTCTGTAGTTTTTACATCTTTTAACTCTGATGAAGTTGTATTCTTGAAATTGAATGACATTCTAACGATTAAATTCACTAGCTTAAAGAAGATGATTTCATACAAACCATAATATCTTCGTCAAAACCAGTCAGTCAGTCAGTCAGTCAGTCAGTCGGTCAATGACATTATGGAATGATACCAAATTTTTCGTCAAGTTACACTTCTTTGCACGATGAACATTCTATTTGACTTCAATTATTGGATGATAATTTCAAAGACATGATCTACATTCAACAAAAATTTCGCTCATAAATGTTACATTAAATAACAAAGTTTAAAACCTGTACCTTATTAACTTAGAAATAATATTTAATTAATTGTCAATTAGTTGAAAGCAACCAGAAATCAGCCCTGAGCATAGATTCCGTACCAATGCCTACACTCGATGAAAAAATGGGCCCAAATAATGAAACACAAAGTTGGATAGATAGATAGATAGATAGATAGATAGATAGATAGATAGATTGATAGATAGATAGATAGATAGATAGATAGATTGATAGATAGATAGATAGATAGATAGATAGATAGATAGATAGATAGATAGATAGATAGATAGATAGATAGATAGATAGATAGATAGATAGATAGATAGATAGATAGATAGATAGATAGATAGATAGATAGATAGATAGATAGATAGATAGATAGATAGATTGATAGATAGATAGATTGATAGATAGATAGATAGATAGATAGATAGATAGATAGATAGATAGATATATAGATAGATAGATAGATAGATAGATAGATAGATAGATAGATAGATAGATAGATAGATAGATAGATAGATAGATAGATAGATAGATAGATAGATAGATAGATAGATAGATAGATAGATAGATAGATAGATAGATAGATAGATAGATAGATAGATAGATAGATAGATAGATAGATAGATAGATAGATAGATAGATAGATAGATAGATAGATAGATAGATAGATAGATAGATAGATAGATAGATAGATAGATAGATAGATAGATAGATAGATAGATAGATAGATAGATAGATAGATAGATAGATAGATAGATAGATAGATAGATAGATAGATAGATAGATAGATAGATAGATAGATAGATAGATAGATAGATAGATAGATAGATAGATAGATAGATAGATAGATAGATAGATAGATAGATAGATAGATAGATAGATAGATAGATAGATAGATAGATAGATAGATAGATAGATAGATAGATAGATAGATAGATAGATAGATAGATAGATAGATAGATAGATAGATAGATAGATAGATAGATAGATAGATAGATAGATAGATAGATAGATAGATAGATAGATAGATAGATAGATAGATAGATAGATAGATAGATAGATAGATAGATAGATAGATAGATAGATAGATAGATAGATAGATAGATAGATAGATAGATAGATAGATAGATAGATAGATAGATAGATAGATAGATAGATAGATAGATAGATAGATAGATAGATAGATAGATAGATAGATAGATAGATAGATAGATAGATAGATAGATAGATAGATAGATAGATAGATAGATAGATAGATAGATAGATAGATAGATAGATAGATAGATAGATAGATAGATAGATAGATAGATAGATAGATAGATAGATAGATAGATAGATAGATAGATAGATAGATAGATAGATAGATAGATAGATAGATAGATACAGGGTTTTATTTACCAACCATTAAGTCAAACCGGGTCATATATTGTATTCAAAAATTAATTGATTTTTCACATGACAAAAAATACACCTACAAATGGTTATATTTAGTAGATGGTTAGCGTGTGTACAAAGTATGTGCTTGCACATACAATAAATGAAAATGATTGGTTAAAAGTCAATTTTTGGGTAAGTTGATAATCAGGTGATATAGCCAACTGTATCAGTAAAAGTCTACTTAGTATGATTACTACAATTATTTAATATGAAAGATTAGAACAATGAACGTTTTTCGGATTTTCATTTGTTTTTCATTGAATCAAACTTAATCCTCAATACATATAGAATGAATGAGTAAGTGAAGATTGTTATTTTCCACTTGTATATGTATATAAATACTATTCTTTTCTACTGTGTATTCAATGGGTATTTCTTTGTTTCTTAGAGTAAATACTGTATTATTTAATGAAGAACATTAGACATTAATACTATAGGAGAATAAAACAACTCTAGTAATCTTTATAGAATGGATAGATTGTATTTAACAGTGAAATTTAACTACACATGTTTCACTGTACTCAGACTTGTAAGCTGAATGCATTTGCACCACAGTGTTGATGGGATAATTTTAATGCTTTTTAGTAATTACATAAAATGTTTCATAGATTGAAATCATGAGTCAGTTGAAGCTAGATCATCGTGGAAAACCTGGAAACACTGGATGGCCGTTTCGTCCTAGTATGGGAATCCTCAGCAGTGCGCATCTATGATCCCGCACCCCGCGAGATTCAAACTCAGGACCTATCAGTCTCGCGCCAGGCGCTTAACCAACTAGACCACTGAACCGGTATCCAACGGTGTTAATGTCTAACGACGAAAGTTGGAATCTCTGTTCGTTCAGTTAGTCAGTCAGTAACATCGTAGAACTTCGTACGTACATACATCAGTTCGAGTTGCCACACCACATTACCACAGAGATGCAGTTGTCGATTCAAACCCCATAGTGGTAGAGGTAGTAAGAGTATATGCAGTAATCGGAAAGAGTAGGGTTTGGAGATGTTATTTAAAGAGTATAATCCAGCAAAATAAATTTGGGAAGAGAAAAAAGAGACAAGGAGGAATCAAGAGATTAAAATTTGGGAGGACGCAAAGAGTGTATGCACCTGCGCCATTGCGAACGATTTTGAGCCGTGTAATTCAGGGTCCCTAACCATCGGTTGCTATCATCTCGCGGTCCCCAATCAGGTAGTCTACACCTACCAACATGACTCAGTCCACTTGTCAGTGACTTCATGAATTTGTGCCATGTTTTGGATTGGCCGCCCCTAGCTTTCTTCCGTCCTAATCCTATACCACTGAACATCGCACGTCGAGGCAGTCGGTGGTTGGACATACGTAACACGTGTCCCAGCCATCTCAACTGATGAAGTTTCACCACTTCATCAATTGATTTGCCATGCTTACCTAGTAAGTGTTTCCTAACAACCGCGTTACTTACTCAATGGTCCCAGGATATACGAGCGATGTTTCGAAGACACCTATGATCGAATACTAGTAACCTACGAATATCCTCTACTCTTACCGGCCATGTTTCACTGCCATAAAGTAGGACGGAACGAACTGTTGCGCAGTTAACCCGTCCTTTGGTTGATAGACGGATATGTCGCCTACGCCATAAGCTTGTTGAGCCTTCTGTATCCATGCTGAGACTTCGTCACACACCAGACCACAAGGGCTGATGAGACTTCCAAGATAAGTGAAGCGATCGACACGCTCATTTACTTCACTCCCTATCACTAGTTCGGGTGTCGATGCAACCCAATCCTGAAGCAACATTTTGCATTTCGAGGGGGAGAATCGCATCCCGAACATGCTTGCATTGTTGCTTAGAGTGGTCAGAAGACTCTTCATTTTGTCAGCATCTTCACCAAATACAACTATGTGATCGGCATATTCCAAGTCAACAAGTGAACCTCCCGGTAGAAGTTCAACCCCTGGAAATATAGATGAGGAGAGTGTTATCTCTAACAGTACGTCGACCACAAAGATGAACAAGAATGGGGAGAGTGGACAGCCCTGACGAACACCACTTGAGGTAATCAGTTCTGATGACAGTTCACCATAAGTTCTCACTCGACCAGTTGTGTTCGAGTAGAAAGCCTTTACAAGGTTAATGTGCTTCTTTGGCACTCCTTTCAGTGACAAACACTGTCATAGAACCTCACAATCGACAGAGTCGAATGCTGCTTTATGGTCGAGAAATACTACCATTGTGGGGCGTCTGAACGTGTGTTTGTGTTCTAGAACATGACGTAGTGTTAAAATCTGGTCTATACAATCACGTCCAGGTCGAAAACCAGCCTGGTTTTCTCTGGTCTGCTCTTCACGAGCTTTAGTTAGGCGTCGAAGTGTTATTGAGGCTAATATTTTAGACACCATATTAGTCAAACTGATTCCTCTGTGATTGTCACAAGAAGACTTTTGTCATTTCCTATAGACTGGCACAACTAGTGATTGAGGCCAGTCAAATGGGATTACGTCCAGTTCCCGAATTCCACCTAAGACCTCAGTCAATCTTACTGTTAATACTGGACCACCATCCTTAAAAATCTCAGGAGTGTTCGTTCAGTTCTAATCTATCCATATGGACACAATATTCTCCCACAATTTTCTAAAAAAGACAACAGAATTATGCTAGTAATAAAGTCCAGGATCAGGAATAAAAGGTTCCAAGATGAATATTAAAAGTCAGTTGACGAGTACCGGATAAGAAAATAAATGCCTAACTTAGATTCCACTGATAACCACATTCCATCTTTTATATAAAAACATGTGACATAACTGCTATATCGAGGTAATCGTCACAGAATCTACATATCTCAAATAAAATTGATCAAAATTCAATTGAAAATACCTACAACAGCATCATACTCTTCTACACTATTCCTTCCTGATCTATGTTCTAGATAAATGTACAAGTGTCATGTTATTTCGTTAGTTATTTGGGCAGAAAGAAGTTTATTTTTTAAATTACCCCATCAAATCTCTTTGTCGTTATCAGACATATTGTCATGTCTTACTTGAGAATACACATTCCAACCCACCAATTCCTCTCTTCAAATGAATATTTCGAAGAGAAAAACAACTAAATTGAATGAAACATTATTAAAATATGTGTACTTTCAGTAAATCACACCGAAAAAACAAACTGAACTAAACTGAACTGATCAATGACACTTATTTTTGTATTTTAAATGCCATGGAGAAATTCAATTTTCACAATGAAAAAATCTGTTTTAGAAAAAAGTGACAGAAAGGACATACCGGTGGAATGTGCATTTCACAACAACAACAACAACAACAACAACAACAACAACAACAACAAAAAAGAACAAAATGAGGAAGAAAGAAAAAAAGAGGACGAAAGTTTTCATAAAATTAATATTTTCAATCTTGATCCATTTGATAAAGGTTAACTGGTAGTGGTTTAGAAAACAATCACACGAACACCAATCTTAATTTAAGTTTTCTTCTTTTAGTACATATACGATCTAATATGTGAACAGTTAAGAAGAGTCAAATACCACAGGCTACTTCTTTTTTATTATTAATTTTACGTTGGATACTAAGAAAGTAAAATATAATTTTTGTTATACACTAATGTTTGATAATTAAACAATCAATATGACATTAGATTTTGCGTATGGAATTATCGAACCGGAAATTCTTGTTCTATATAATTGTCTATATATTGATTAGTGATAAATGTCATATTTGTCTAGTCTATCAGAATTGTTCGTTTCTTGTTTGTGATGAATGAATGATCATATTAAATAACCAAGTTTCTGATGAAAATTGATTGGAGGAGAATAGTGACTTCAAAGATATAAGTTTCAACTTAAAAACGTGTTGCAATCTACTATCTCATTCAATCGCTCTTACCTATTCTAATGCTTGATCAAAGTTGTTACGTGTAAGAGGCGTTATTATCAGAAGAGAAATAAAACTGTTTGTAGAATAAACATGCTTTCCAGTGTTCACACTGACTCAAATATCGACATAATAACAGTGATCTATGCTATATGTGGTTAATACACCGATTCTTCAAACTAACAATAATGATTCATTCACTGTTGAGCCATTTGTTTATTTTATGGAGAGTTGAGGGATATTCTGGTGAGTATTCATAGAATTACAAAGAAGTGAACACATATTTTCTGTGTTCAGTTAAGAAACGTAGCTTCTGATGAATACATCAATACTCAAAGTAAGTCCATTTCAGTTGACATATCAACCATAACAAGGTTGATGATGTGGAATACGAGTTAAAGTGTGAGGTAAATTATCCAAGCGAAGTTATGTTTAAATAACTGTAAACTGGTCACCATACACTATTTTCATTCTTCAATTCAATACATTTTCACGACACTTAAACACATTCATTGTAGACAATAGAAACTCTATTCAATCATCATCATCATCTTCAGAGTAAACTGATAAACACACAACAATGCTACTATTAGACATGCCAAGACAGTTCTCTGTCGGTAACAAAATAGCTTTTGTAAATTGTTAGTTGTTACAATATATATAACAATGACATTACAAATTGTAAACAGATTTTACCTATTGACAGAATCCATGAAAAGCTTCCACAGTTTACTCTGACTATGAATGAAAAAACAATTACTCTTAAAGTCATCTTTAAGCATGAAAAATGTCCATCTCGGGCTATTTAAACAATCCGAATAGATTTTGAATAGTCTCATATCGTTCCGGATTAAAGTTAAGTATTTAGATTACGGATTAAGGATTTAGGTTTGAGTATTTATTCACGAACTCATATTAACTATAATTTAAAAGTGCTCTGTAACCATATAAGTGAATGAATTTTATATAAAAATAGGAGGGACACTATCTGATTAGTTCATCTATAAAACCTAGTGTCACGAGGTTAATGTTTGTTTCATGATAAAGAATTTAGGTTTTGTATTTAAGGATAGTGTTAATTTACCTGTTATACACAATCTAAGGAGACAGAATTAAATACTGGATATGTTTAACACTACCATTTATAATCTGAAGTTGCAGTAAGTGATTTTCTGTTGTCACTTTAACCGTTTCAAGTAGTATACAAAAATTTATCTACTGATTTTTATAAGTGATATTTTGATTTTGGGAAAAAAGACATAACGGTTTCTTCGACTCTGATTGGCTCTTCTTTATTTGTGCTTTTACCCTATAAAAGTCATTCCATTTTGATGTGCACCGCAGGACTTTGAAGTTACTAGAAATCCTTGAAGAGTCAAGCCCTGGCCACATGGTATCATAGATAATGATGTGGCCACCTAGCT